GTAGGGAACAGGCCTGTATTTCTATAATGGAAGCATCTGGCACGGTTGGGATATTGGAATCAACAGCTAAGATAAAGAACAAAAATTATGTTACTTATTTGTTTAAATGCAAGGACAGAAAATTCTGATTCATGTTATCTAGAGTTTTTTCCAAAATTGCTTCTTAAAACTGTAACATTAGCCTTGTTATACTGACTTATTGTTCCACAGATAATCACCACATACTGTAACACCACTTGTGTAATCATCTAATAATGAAAAAGACAAAATTAATGCAGAAGTTACCTTTAGAGAATTTTAAAATGTAAAATCAGTACTCTCCATGGAAATGTAGCCCAATACAGGTTTTTCCTATGAGCCTCCTACTCTAGTGAAACTTTTAATATGTGCTAATTATGCACCTTCAGCCTTCTGTTACATAGTAGTAGGCAAATACTAATTACTATTTGATCATCGGAGAGCTCAGATCGTTATGGACACTGCTGAAACTTCTTAAGTTCTATGAAATATACATATGCTCCATTCTCCTGGAGAAACTGGCTGCTCATGACCTGGACAGGCATACACTTTGCTGGGTAAAAAACTGGATGGATGGCCAGGCTCAAAGAGTTGTGGTGATTTGAGTTAAATTCAGTTGTCAGCTGGTCACAACTGGTGTTCCACAGGGCTCAGTACTGGAGCCAGTTCTGTTTAATACCTTTATCAGCAATCTGGATGAGGGGATCAAGTACAACCTCAGTAAGTTTGCAGATGACACCAAGCTGGGCAGAAATGTTGAGGGTAAAAAGGCTTTACAGAGAAACCTGGTCAGGCTGGATTGATGGGCTGAGGTCAATTGTATGAGGTTCAACAAGGCCAAGTGCTGAATCCTGTACTTGGGTCACAAGAAGCCCATGCAGTGCTACAGGCTTGGGGAAAAGTGGCTGCAGAGCAGCCTGGAGGAGTAGGACCTGGGGATGCTGTTCGACAGCCAGCTGAATATGAGCCAGCAGTGTGCCCAGGTGGACAAGATGGCCAATAGCATCCTCACTTGTATCAGAAACAGTGTGGCCAGAAGGAGTATAGAAGTGATCAACCCCCTGTACTCAGCACTGGTGAGGCCTTACCTTAAATACTGTGTTCAGGTTTGGGCTCTTCAGTACAAGGAAGACAGGGAGGTGCTGGAGCATGTCCAAAGAAGAGCAACGAAGTTCATGAAGGGTCTAGACCACAACTCTTCTAAAGAGCGGCTGAGGGAATTGAGATTGTTTAGCCTGGGGAAAAGGAGGCTGAGGGGAGACCTTCTCTCTCTCTACAACTACCTGAAAGGAGGCTGTAGTGAGCTGGGTGTTGGTCTCTTGTCCCAAGTAACAAGCAATAAGAGAGGAAATGACCTCTGGATATTAGGATAAAATTCTTCTCTGAAAGTGTTATCAGTCATTGGAACAGGCTGCCTGGGGAAGTGGTGGAGTTACTGTCCCTGGAGGTATTTAAAAGACATGTAGATGTGGCACTTTAGGATGTGGTTTAGTGATGGACTTGGAAGTGTTAGGTTAACAGTTGGACTCAATGATCTTAAAGGTCCTTTCCAACCTAAATAATTCTATGATTCTATGCTGACATTCATGTTGATGAGAAGCCTGGAAGTAGAGTTCCTCTTCCTCTCTGCATTTTAAATGAGGTAGCTATTAAAATGCAAATGACATGCAAAGCTATTTGAATTAAAAGACAAAAAAAGAATTCTATTGTTTAAAATGTTAATAGTTTTTACATGCTGTAGCTGCTCTAGGATAACCTTTGCTTTGGGAAAAGGGTTTACTTGGTCACATTTCCAGTTTCAGAAAAAAATCATAACCCTAGAGACACATTGTTTTTCATCTCAAATGTGAATATTTTTTGTCTACATCCAGAAAATGCAAACAGATCTACGTACCTCAGATTTAGGCTCCCACATGTAAGAGTGCTGAATATTTGTTTATTCAAGCAGTTCCCTTGACATGACCTGTACTGCTTGCAGAAGGGCTTAATCAGCCCAGACAGTACTGACATAATGTGGCCGTATGAGTCTATACTGCAAATATCAATGCTGCTTTTAGAAATGATAGTCATCTTGATAGTCATAATTCTCAGGGTTATTGGTTTCTTCAAAAAAGTGCTTTGGGATGCTGAGTTACTTAAACCCTTTCCTAAGTAAACAACAGTGTCAGAGGTTGAGGGCAATGGAGGTTCTTCCTCTTCCAGCATGTTTTCTGTCGAGGAGTTAGTCACCAAAATTTTAGTACTGCCTTTGGCTGAAACGAGACCTTACCCTTCTCAAATTGTGCCTTTTCCTCTGGGCTCTAGTTTCTTTCTTTAAAAAGACAGGTTAATAGTAAAGCCCACTTTGGCATGTCAAAGTCTATGTGTCAGCTATGCATTTGTTATTATCCTTCAGCCTCAGGATACTGTGAAAATTGGAAAGATACTGCTATTTTGGAAAGCCAGACAGAAAAAAATGTTAACATATATGCTGGGCATGGGACAGCACAGAAAAGCCCCCTGCTCCTTCTCAGCATTGTAGCATTTCTTTCTAAGGCAGTAATGTATCAAACTAATTATTTTTACATTGGTTTCTTATTTCTTGATGGTACAAAACTATGAAAATTTACTGGAGGGAATTTAAAAAACTTTTTAAATGTTAATCTCACCCACTTAAGTTAGTCTGAATTGTCTGTAGGAAATGTCATTCTAAGCAGCCTGCCAGATGGATGAATTAATTTCCAAAAATGGTAGATATTGACTTTTTTAATGTTAGTGGAAATATTTACTCAGCAAAAGACAACACACCTTACAGTGAAGGCTGGTGGCAAGGACTGTTTACTGTTAAGCTATCATGGGGGAAATCTCAGAAAGCCAGTCATCAGTGGAAGGCAGGTCCTTCCGAGAGCTTCCTGACAAGTAAGTGTACATAGGGTTTTCAGGCATGCATGTTTGTTTGCTTAAGTGAAAGACAGATGTAGCCCTGCCTCCTTCTTCCCACAGTGCTCTACCAAAGAACATACAGAGGAAAAGCCACTGACTCATTCTTCTCTGGAATTTCAGGCACTGCAAATTAGTATATTATAAATTCAGCACTGCATTGTAAATTATATATGATCAATGATGCCAAAAGTCCTGTCAATTGGTTGCTCTAAAAAAAGCCAGGTGTTTGGGAAAAGTTGCAAAAGTTAAGAGAAATGGCATTTTAATGGGAAGCTCTGAGAGAGGTAACAATATTAAAAACCCATCAAAATATTTCAGAAAAGTTTGTGCATTAACTTGTCTATATGATGATAATTTAAATGAAGATATCAAATTCTTGCAGTTAAAGACTACTAAGTTCCTCCTTCTACAATTTAATTTCAGTCAAAACCAAGCATATTTAACCTGATCTGATCCAACTTGTGTTGGTTTCTAAAATAAGAAACAGGGAGAGACCATGTCACACCAAGAGAGATACCATCTAGCAGAGGGATGATGCAAAGGTAGGGAGGATCTAGGATAGCCCAGTCCGATAGGATTGAGCAATCACCCAGGAAGACATTTAAGGCAAACAAGGCTCATGCAAAGTAGTCTTTCAATAGTCCCAGAATGAAATTTTAACTTTAAATTATCAGGGCAGAAGGGGAATATTTTTCCCTATTTTAAAAATGCTGGGGGATTTTCTTATTCCTTCTGATGTAAAATATTCTGTTCGAAGTTGAATGACAAGTTCTTATCAATGGTTTTGCACATAAAAATTAGACTGCATGTGTATTTTAATGAAAATACTAACTTGAAAATGCTGGTCAGCATTTACTTGCAATAGATGAGCATGTCATATTAGAAAGAAGCATAGAGAAAAAAAACCTGACACTTAGGAAAAATCAGAACAATTTCTTGCCTGGAGAAAATAGGTATTAAACATAATACTAATATGTATGTTTCAGAGCACTACTTAACCACAGGAAGGAACCCTCAATATATGTAATATATCAGGTGGTGACACTTTGGATTTTTTAAACTCTTCCCAAGTTGTCTACTACTCTTGGTAGGCATTGAAGGAGATGGACCATTTGCCTGTTTTGGTAGGTCAATAATTAATGACAGAACTCTCTACTGTATCTTACTGCCTCAGGAATATTTTGCAAAACCACAGAGGTCAAAACACTTTTCACTGTATTTTCTTTAGTAATACATTTACCCAGGACCCACGGTAATATCATCCACTCGACGATGGTTGGTGGCGGTCCCTGCATGCTCAAGTCTGACCTGTCGATGTGCTGAGAGGCAAGCAACAGCAGGAACAGAAAAGTCAAGTAGGATGCAGTATGGCAGATAAATTTGATAAATGGCTTTCTGATGAACAGCCCTAATGGGCTTTTGGGAGCTATCAGGTAGCACACAGAGAAGACCGGGAAAAGGAGTCCTATCACAACACATGTCAACATCTTCACAGCCCAGTGTCGCCTCCTCCATCCAGGGAATTCGTCATACCAGCGGGATGCAAGCAGCTGCTGGCAGTTGGGCTGAGCAACAAACTACAGAGAGAAGAAGAAAGTGAGATGGTTAGTTCCTTGTTACTTCTGTAAAGCTATTTCCATGTTATGTATGGTATGGTAAGTAACATTTGGAGAGTGATTAAAAAAAATAAATCTATAGCCTGTGCAAGCCCACTCATACTGATAATTTCAGTAAGACAGGGCTGGGCCAGGCTGCCCTTCCTTCAATACAAAATGCATACTACAAAGTTATCAAAATTCACTTTTCACTGACTTCCCCATCAGCGAGTACACAAGGAGTCAACAGATTGTAAACCACATATACCTCAAAAGCTGATTTCAAGCTGAAAAACAAGTTCACAAATAATTCCATTATTCAATCAGCAACATTTGTGGAGAATTCACAGAAAGCGAGGTAGAAGTCACTATGAAAATGAAAAGCATGTCTGAGATCTTTAAACAGTGAAACTGAATTCCACAGCCATGAACGAACTATTCTCAGTATGTTCCCTGCTAATGCTCTAAAAATCAGGCTTACGTGCTTTTATACTGACAAAACTCTTACAGATGCATAACCTAATGCTTCCACAATATGAACTAAGCATTAACATTCCCCATTGCTTCACTAATCCTTGTCAGGATATATTCCTATCCTGGACAATATTTTATGGTTTGTCTGTTCTCCACAATGTGATTTCAGTTCTTAAAAGATGATCCTTAAAACTGAATTTCAGCAAAAAAATCCAAGCCTGGTAAAAATTTAATATTTATTAGATAACTTTTCAAAGAAACTTTAAGTATATTACAGGGTTTTATGTCACATTTTTATTTCATTGCTAGTTTCTTTTTTCCGTAATGCTTTCTTTTATGAAGGGGACATAGAGTAGCAGCATTCTAAACTTGACAAGAAATATAAAATAGATGCAACGTATGCATCAAAGAGAGGAAGAGTTTTTGCATTTGGGCTAGTTTTATTTTTTTTTAAAAGGTAGAAAATAAGTGTTTTCTCATATGTTACTGTGGTGAGTTGACCTCAGCTGGATTCTAGGTGTCCACCAAAGCCACTCTATCACTCCCCCTCCTCAGCTGGATTGGAGGAGAAAATATAACAAAAGGCTTGTACGTTGAGATAAGGACAGGGAGATCACTCACTAATTACTGTCATAGGCGTAAATTCTGAGACATAACTCAGAGAAAATTAATTTAATTTATTGCCAATCAAATCAGAGTATGCTAATGAGAAATAAAATCAAATCTTAAAACACCTTTTACCCACCCCTTCCTTCTAACCGGACCTAACTTCACTGTTTTCTCTACCTCCTCCCCCAGAGCAGTGCAGGGGGTTGGACAAGAGGAGTTGTGGTCAGTTCATCACACATTGTCACTGCTGCTTTTTCCTCCTCAGGGGGAGGACTCCTCACACTCTTCCCCTGCTACAGTGTGAGGTCCTTCCCACAGGAGACAGTTCTCTATGAACTTTTCCAATGTGAGTCCTTCCCATGCGCTGCAGTTATTCACAAACTGCTCCAGAGTGGGTCCCTTCTACACGGCACAGTCCTTCAGGAACAGACTGCTCCAGTGTGGGTCCCTTGCAGGGTCACAAGTCCTGCCAACAAACCTGCTCCAGTGTGGGTTCCTCTCTCCATGGGGCCACAGGTCCTGTCAGAAGCCTGTCGCAGCACACACTCTCCACCGTGTCTCAGTCTCCTTTGGGCACCCACCTGCTCTAGCAGCAACTCACAGAAGCCACTCCTGTAGTCCCCTGCTACCAAAACCTTGTCATGCAAACCCAATACAATTACATATAGGCATATATACATAAACTGGATTAAATCATTAGCTGAAAACTTAACAAAGCTATGCAGAAACTTCTTTATCTTATTAAGTAGTCAAATTGTTAATTTATATAAAATAATTTCAGATTTGAATTCTAATGAAATGCACCTAGCTTGAGATTTTACTTTATTTTGATAATGCCTATAACCACAGGAGCCAAGTTCCTTTAGGGATGAGTAATAGGTACTTCTTAAACAGTTTCTGAAATCACTGGGATTACTACTAGTAGAAAATGCTGTTTAGATTGGAATGAAATGAAAGTCAGCATGCATCTTTCTAGACATGTCTGGATCTTGTCAGAAACATTAGCCTAAGCCAAATTCAGACCTGGTGTATGTTAATGAAACGCTAGTGTCCTTCGCAGAGTCATATCTGCCTAACAGATATCGGCACTGAAGCTGCCTGTGACTGCTGTGAAAGGCAAGAGAATTTACAGAGTGTTCTCTTCCATTAGGAAAATGTATTCGCAAGGTTTCAGGGTGTTTGTTTCAAGATACAAATGTCTGGAATAATACTAAATGCAGTCAGAGCAGATGGTTTCAAGTTATGTTTTTGCCAAGTTTTTAACGGGGGTCTCCCTACAATATTTTTCACCTCTGTTTGATTGAATAGGTACAGATTAGTGCTTTGCTTGACTAGTGAAAAAGTATGACTCATGGACTAATTCCTGAGTGTGCCAGTTCCATGTTTATTCCCCTCTTTTCATATTTTCTTCCTATTACATATCTTCTCATCTAAAAGTAATCAGTTCCGGAGTCTTGCCTGTGTCCCCTTTCTCAACACCTTTAGGAAGCTGTCATTGTGTTGGGGACCCAGGTGAAGGAGCAACTTCCAGTGGCTAGCATAAGCTGGTGGTAGATATAGGGGGCCTACTACTCATCAAGCATGGCAAAAAAGGAATGAATTTCCCTTGCCATAATGTGGATGAAATAAAGTAAAATTAGGGTTTTTTCCAATGTCCACCAAGTACTGGGCTGCTCTGGCGTTGAGTAGAAGAGAACAAATGCAGAGGTGCCTCATGCCCTGACGAGATGCTTGATGACTGCATCATCTGGAGTGTGGTCCACACTGGATGGGAAGTAGCTGCTTAGTTCTAAACTTTAAACAGATTAATATGAAAAACTTTCAATGTTAATTCTGAAAGCATTTCTGAGCAGGCTTGAAAAATTGTTTCTTGTCTCCTAATACCCATATTAGACTTCGTTGTGTTGTGACTGTATTGCTAAGGTACAATGTGTTAAAGAAAAGGATTGCTTTCTGAGGCACAGGCTCTTTTTCAGTAAGTGCAGATTATTTTCAAATTCCAGACACTAAGAAGACAATTTTTTCAAATTGTAATTTTTAAAGAAATCAGATCCATACTTTTCTTCAAGTTATGACTGTGACAGGGCAGTTTTAGCCCTAGTTGGATCCTCTGACTATAGGAGAAAACTAACATAGACTATACATTTGATGTGGCTAGAGGTAGGGGGATCACGATTGGTAAAGCACTTCATATGACTTACTAGACATAAAAAAGATAAAAGCAACTAATAGTATAGTATGGAGCAAGCAGATAAACTACTATGTCAGCATTTTAAAAGCTGCATGCATAGGGAAGCAGTTCTAGTTCTAGTGCAGGCAAAGGTCTATAGCAGAAACCACCACACACTATCTACAGATGATATACTGAATTTCTGAGATGTCTAGATATCCAGTTTCATGCTGTTGTTTTTATCTAGCAACACCATTGGCAACATTAGTTAACAATGTCCTGAAGGAACAAAAATATGTCTTCTCACTGCAGCCTCTTCTTTATGGTTCTGAGCTCCATTGGCCATGTAACATACACTGTGATCCACTCCGAAATGTCATCTTCAGACAGCTGCAAAATTACCTTAAATCTCTTGGTGACACTTCTTTAATAGTTACGCTTTTTTCTACATTTATCAAGGAATGGAATGACATTATTAAAAATGTCCAATTTAATTATCACAAATTTGACTTCCATTTTTGTGGTTGAGACATCTTCATCATATGTTTTTAAATGTTTGAAAGTTATATCTACGTTTATTACATTAGCTGAATAATGAGGGAAGCTGGGGTACACTGATGGCAAGAAAAATGCAGTCAGTGGTGAACCTCAGAGTCTTGCTTCTGAGCTACCCAGAGAGGGGGAACTTGTAACTGCACACTGCATCTCCCCTCTTTTCCTTGTGGACCTGTTTCCTGTAGAGGAAATGAGGAATGATGTTTTGTACCCACACATAGTCCTCATATGTAATAAGTAAGTATTTGAGTGCGTACAGGAACTGGAGGTGGGGAAGTCTTCCTGGGACCCACAATGTAAATGTTGCCTGTATAGGCTCTCTCAGACATTACTCATAGGTCACATATGGTTTTACAGGTCAAGTAAGTTTAACTGTGATTAATATATTTTATTACTGATCCTGAATGCTTATTAAACTTAACTTTTAAATTTATCTACTAAAAAGCCCTTCTCTACAGAAAAGCAAAAAAAAAGGCTTCATGGCAAAATGCTCAGGTCAAATGAGATTTATATTCTAACTATTATAAACACTGCTATTAGAAAGGAACAGTAGAAGTGGATGGTAAAAAGACATGCTCTGAGTCATAAGATGCTTGCTATATAAATGGATAGGAACACATCTAGGTTAATTACATACTAAAGCTAAGTAGACATGTAATTCCTCTGCTGAACTGGAAGCTAAAAAAAGATTTTTAAAAAATTTACACAAATACTTTATGACTAGCAGAAACAGAAGTACTCTGTGACATTAATTTGCCAGTTCTGCATTGCCTATGCCAAAACATTTTCCCTGTAGTATATATTTTCTTCCTTAATAGGTGATATTACATTCTGAGGTATGCAAAGTATCTTTTGTACTGTCAGTATTTTGTTGTATGTTATTTGACTTTGACATTGTCTCCATATAATTAGCAATCGGCAAGTTTATATTTTCACATTACAATGGCTTCCAATAGCTTCCAGCAGTTTGTAATTATGTGAGGGATTTTGCTGTAATGATTATTCCTCGTTGCACATCTTTAGCTCCTTCATAAGAGACTGGCTGGCTAAAAATGTTTTGGTATTCATTCTCTTAGTTGTCATGCTGGGAATTGGCTCTTCCCTCAGACTGGTGAAAATCAGAAATTATTCACAGTGCCAGCAAAAATAATCTTGTATAAATAATAGCAAAGCC